GCCCCGAATCTGCAAGTTACTCTGCATATATCGTCAAAAGACGATAGTTTTGCGTCTGGAGAGAGTGAACAAAACATTTAGTTGATGTTCTGTGCAAGAAAATTAGTGAGTGGTATTCTGTAGGCGCTCCGTTAGTGCCTCGAGCGTGTAGCGACGGCGAACGAGCGCATAGAGGCACGTTAGAAACGAGCGCCATCTGGCAGTTTGAAAACGAAGGAAGGCGTGCCCGCCCGTGGAGAAAGATGCGTGTTTGACTCGGAGCTGATAGGGAGTAGAACGCAAAGCGACGGGCAGGTGCCACCACCGTGTCATCTTAGCAAACTGTTGGAAGCACTTACGTTTTTGAGCATCACGTTGCACTGTCAGCGCAGCGTGATAAACACTATAGTCCTTGTAATTACTTGTGTGTGCCTTTTCTAGTAGAAAGGCACACATACAAAACATCGACGTGTTGTTATGGTGCCTCAGATTTGCGCAATAATTCCTTTTTAATTGACAATCACACAAGTATGAACGCTGAATCTTGAGCAATATTGGTGAACGCTGCGGATAGGGTTGGCCGTTTGGTGCCGTTTGAAGTATCGATAAAGGTAGACAAACAGACAAATGTACAGACAGACAAACAGACCAAAATTTTTCCGTCGAAGGTCCCCAAGAAAGACTATCGTCTTTAAAAAATTGTGCAGTATTCAAAACTAAAATCAATTTGTGTTTTGTAATGAGGGCTTTGTGTATCGCGTTTCGTTGACTTGAGGACGCGAATACAAAGGGGAGAAGGGGCAGGTGCGTGAACATGAGTCTAAAAAAGCATAAAAACCTAAAGAAACGCCCGGCCTGTGCGGAATGCGCAGCACAGTCGCAGCGAAAGCGGAAAGAGTGGCTTTTCAAGCCTTTTCTAAACACTCGTTGGGTAACTGCTGTCACTTGCTGGGTACCCACTACGCTATATAGAAACATAATTTTTGCGCATTAGGCCAGCATTCACTATGCTATCCTTCATAATTCTTCGGAGAATCCTGGTATCCGCTAACACTTCCTGGAAATTTTATACCATTTTTTATGCAGTGGCTGATGATGTCGAAGAAGCGTGAAGTGGTTATAAAGAACAAGTTTTCTAATGCGATGAAACACTCGACAATACACTCGTTATGCAATTCGCATTTTGAGACGCCTAGTTCATCCTTTCATGATCTAAAATATTTATTACTCATATTAGTGGGATTCCTTTCTCGACATCAAGGCTGCCTATGGCCAGCTTAGAAAGGACTTGCATGAACCGGCGTGGCACAGTAGTACAGTACTCGGCTAGCACGCAGTGAACCCAGGTTCGAATCTCATTGTTTTCTTGGTGTATTCTTTATTTACTGAGTTTCTTTTTTTTATTTCTTTTGATACTGGTTATGCACACCAGCGGTGGTGGCGGCAGCGGACAACTAAGGCACCGTATGTGACCCATGTTCTGATCTCATAGCAGCTTTCACTGTAATAGACGGACACCAGGGACATCTCAGCTAACAGTGCGGTAACTGTGGGTATAAGCGTACTTCAGTTCGATAACAGTGGCATTGTTTATCGCTACAAAGACCAGTGTGATATGGAAATAGCTGAGGCGGTAGATGTTCTCATGAGGGAGAGGGATGTATCAGCATGACATCGCTTGCGTTGACCAAGGATGAGCTAAGGGTTTTAGAAACTTGGTGATTAAGGCTTCTCGGTGTCACCGATTCCTGTACTTGCTGATGGACTTTAGGGTCGAAGCTCTTTATGTTCTAGGGCAATCCCGTGTCCTTCAGATGGGATAGATAGCCGGCCCAGCATATCTACAGACAGACAGACAGACAGACAGACAGACAGACAGACAGACAGACAGACAGACCGATAGACAGACAGACAGACAGACAGACAGACAGACAGACAGACAGACAGACAGACAGACAGACAGACAGACAGATGGACGGACGGACAGCCACTTCGCCCACTCAGCATCATTCAGTACATCGATAAGCTGTAATTTTTTTCTTTGGCTATATTTATTTGCTTTACTTGCTGACTTTGTGCATGTGTTTATACCTGGTATTGTCAGTGTGTTAAAAAGCATTGAAAGTCAGCGCTCTTTTCTCTCTGTCTGTGTCGTATATTTTAGTTTTGCGTACTGGTATATGCGCTAGATATAACAGGACAGAATTCACAGTGACACCAAGCATTTGTGAACACGTCAATTCTCTTATCGTTTAAATTGGTTGCTTAACTAAAACAGAGACTTACCGTCGAAAACGTAAGAGCCCCATATAGCCGCCACCTTCATGATCCTACATCACTGTTCAGGGGCCCTTGCATAATGTACTGCAAAAAAAGTTTAAGAGAGTGGCTCAATATTTTTCTTTGTATTCGAGCCAGTATGGAGTGACAGAGATCTGTATTTGTTGGTAAGTATTCAGCATAAAAAAGGTAAGCCATGGAGAGACGCACACGGGAAAAGATAAAATGGCAAAATAAACGTTGTTTATATAGTCTTGTCTTCTCGTCTAATGTCCTTGTTTATGAAGGTGGTATACCAGCAAAGCAGTATTTTTTTAATGTGAAGCATTTGTTAGTAAACTTCAAGCACTTTGACAGTTTTATCTGTCTATCAATGTATCTATCTATCTGTCTGTATGTCCAGCCACCTACGCCTGGATGCTCTCGTTTTCACTACTTTCATAACTAAGAGTGAGAGCAAAATTAGTATGGGAGTGTTTGATGGTTCGACGGATATGTATGGCTGGCCAAGACGTGAATAACGTGAAAAAGCTGTCATGTACGTCGTCAAACCATGGCCTATGGCTATGTGCGGCACACGCCCATGTACCACTGGTGGGTGTGTGCCACAAGGTATAGTTGGCTTTTTACATCTACCCGGGCACTAATAGAAATGCGGTAGCATAAAGAAAAACCGTCATAGGAAGCATTGACCCAGCGAATAAAGAAAAACAAATATCATCGTTCCAGCAGGAATTGAGCCAAGGCAATTTGAGTGGCAATCAAGTATTCTACCACAGAGCCACCCTAGGTTTAAAAATTGCTTTGAAAATACACTCTGAGCAGGCCCACTAACAATAAAATGTCAAATGTGGTTGCATTGGTGATGATCTGAGTTTTACAAAATATCACATACGATCTTCCATCACACATGCATCACGTTGCGTTAACGTCAATTTTTGTTAAACGCCATCCACTGAAGTTCGTCGACATAGCACAAGCCAGGATTGCCATCCTCGCAAGCACAAGCGCTACATATGGGCCTTACCATTCTGGTATTGGTAATACCCATGCGGCTCTTGGCATCATTACGCAACTGAAAAAAAAACGGATTTATAAAACATACGAGACTGTCCAGCGTATGAACTCTGCATAACTTTGGTGCTAATTCGTAACGTTTCGCTCAATAACAATTACATCACAATCACCTTTTCTGCGCATGTTTTGCATGCTTAATATCGATTCCCATGACACCTGGAATCTGCTGAAGTTTTCCTACAGGTTTACTCCACAACGCTGAATAATTCTCAATGAAGGCTCTCTGCGAAGCGTAACTACCTATAAGATAGTAACAGCGAAGCTCTTGAAGCCGGCCGCTAGTCCACACAGAGCGAAGAGAAATCCTTATCACTGTGAACCAGCTTGCACTCTGTTCGCCTTTTCTTCATCATTCTCACCTTCTTCATCTCCTTCTTCACTCCTGGAACACGTGCACGAAATTCTCCGATGCGGGATATGTAACTCTCATGGGCGAGAGAACAAGTACAAAGAGAAAGAGATAGAGACAAAGATAGAAATAATAGGAATATGTTTTTTCTGAGACCAGATTCAAACCCGCGTACCCACAATCTTGGTTCTTAGGCAGACATTTTTATGAAGGAAGGCGGGGTGAGAAGGCGCTATGTTGATTTGATGTGGTCTAGTGTCATTTTGAAATCTAAATTCTATAGCAAAACTAATGTTTCGGGAGGGGGAGGGCACTGACCCGCTGTGCCGCCCCAGAATACACTACTACCAAGACATAATATAATGTGGAGTTTGATATCCGAAAACCGCAATGTGATTATGAGAGACGCTGTTAAGAAGAGCTTAGAAAATTTCGAACACCTGGTGTTGTTGAACATCAACTGACGCCACACAGGTCACTAGTTTCTAGCATTTCGCCTTTATCAAAATGCATCCTCCATGGCCGGGATGGAACCCGTGACTTTCGGCTCAGCATTTGAGCGCCCCAACGGCAGACTATTCACGATCCGCAGGCTAGCGCCTGAAACACTCGGCGATCCACGCACGCTAGCTGAGCGTAGCACAGCCTTGTATAGTATGGTAAGGGAAGTAAGAGTGCGGATGAACTATTTGAGAAGAAACAGGATGGAAATCGGGAGTAAGTAAAAAGCACAGAAAGAGAGAAGGACAAAGAAGAAATAAGGAAAGAGAGAAAAATATGGCAATAGTAAAGTATATAAAGAAACAAGTAAAAAAGAAAGAAAGCAAGGGAGCACGCAACAGCCATGTATAGTAAAGAATAGCAAGAGTTGGGAAAGAGTAAGGAGAGTGGATAGAAGCCTCACCTCAACAGGAGCTTCGGCCAATCCTTGCGCTGCTTAGCCCAAGCTCGGGTTTATATTCGAAGTTATACCATTCTAACAAAACTGTCCAATTTGCTAAGAGTAACTTCTTCATTCTTTTGGAATTCTCATTTTAGCATGTCTAAAAAGCAGTTCTTTTTTTTCCGCCGTGCAAGAGCGTCATTCATTTATCAGCTTTTTTGACAAACTAAAAATGAATGACCTTTAACCGCATAGCACAGAACATGACAGTACCCGTTGTTTTATTGGAATCGAGAAGATACCCGGCCGTGAACACGCTGTTACGTTTTCTGCATCATACGGAGACGGCCACATGTGAGTGAAGACGGAGATACCGAGGCAACCTCAGAGACTCCGGGAACCACTGTTGCGGAACAGAAAGATAGCCATGACTTTCGAACAAAAATAGAGATTGCTTTTTATTCGGAAGCTGGGTAAACTGCGTCGGCAGCACGAACAAGAGAACAAGACCGCCTTCAGTATGCAAAACGAGTGTATCTCGCCAGAGAAGCAAGAAACAAGTAGCTGTTACGTCTCAGTTAGCCCGAACAAGAAGCTGCACTTGGTATCTTATGGTTTAGTCTTATTATTCTTTTCACTGTTCCTTTGTTTTTTCCGCCTTTCTCTCTCTTTTCTGTCAAAGCCTCAGAAAGAGACTGTTGAACTTAGAAGCTTGCGGAGATAACGTGACAGCATTGTAGCAGTTCGCATTGTTTCAAGCCGCTCAACGTCTTTGTGTCGTAGGCGTGCAGACGCTGATGCCTCGCATGGTCCCGGTAAGGCTCACGGTGCTGCGTCTCCGCTCCAATGGCAGTGGCGAACGCTAGTTCTGCAGCCTCTTCACAAAGGTCGACTTGGTTCCGGGACGCAGACACTGCGGTGAAACGTGCCATGTATCAGAAATGAGAAAGAGACCAATTCTTTTGAAAGCGGCCACCAGTGTGAAACAGGCGATAGGCCGGAAGACGGCCGGGAAGATAAAACCGAACAAGAAATGGCAAAAGGAAAGAGACATCGCCATGGTGCGGTCCCTGAACGGTACGCTTCGCGAACTGCGCGAAAAGTAGGGCGAAGGTATGAGGGCTGCCGGCCGGCTGCCTGTCGAAAGAGCGACAAGTGCCAACACAGAACAGAGATTTTCTTTCACGAGGCCATCTAAAAGCCGGTTTAAGAACATGTAATACACAAGGAAGGCTTACCAAAACCTACTGGGAAGCTCCTTACGCATATATTTTTCTCAAAAGTCGCGTTCGAATCTCTACTGGCTCGACTTTTGACTCGTTTCTGTTCGTCTCAGTGCTACACGACAGCGAGAAGTTGGCGCGCCGCGTACTCGCAGCTTTGGTATTCTGTGCCATCCGCCTGTTTTTTTTTCGGACACGCTGAATTGCCCTATACCAAGTTGTTTAATTATTTAAAAAGTAAACGCAATACTTTAGAACACTTTTTTTCACTCAGATACAGATAGTGTCATAACCTAGTTCACCAAGATCTGCAATAGTGAAACATTGAGCAAGTGAAATGATGCCTCTTTAATCACAATTTGGCAAATTGTGTAGTACTCGGCTTTACGGGACCTCGTCAAAGTGAGCATTATTTTTGAAGGAATTAAACAACTTTATAACGAGATCCGCCTAGTTGCTGGTCTGGGCCAGACCACTCAGATGAAGAATGAAGCATATTGTCTCCCTCGCCTGCAGGATCCCACTTTTGATATTGTAGATCCGAGCGTAAAACGTGCTTTTTTTCATATCTTCGTTTCCAATAAATAAAAATTTCCAGGCATTCGCATTAAAATAACTCGACGGGAAAAGAATCAGCAAAGCATTTTTTTTTTTCGCAGAATATAGATTTTAGCTCTGTGAAGTTTCTCGAAATTAGCAAGCAATAAAAGGTAAACATTCTACATTTGGTTTCACGCTCATGAAAATACTGTGTTGTAGATGTTGTGGCTGTTCCTCTGTAGGAGGTGTCTACAACGGTAAAGGGTGCCCTAATGAACATTAGGTAATATGGATATGGTAGGTGACCACCGGGGCAAGTCATGACATCATGTGGAAATCGAAGGCACTTTGTTTTTAGATTGCATCCTACTTTCTCGTCATTGATCGCCATCTGAACGCTTGATTTCGCAAGAGAAGACTATTCTAGAAACAGTGTCGCGTATCTATGGTATGAATATAAACTGTCACAAATATCAAGGGGGTCTTATTTATAGTAATTACTGATTTTGGAAATGAGCCCGTCGCGGCAGTCTGTTTTTTTTTAGCCAAAGTAACCAACGCAATACTACTTAGCATAACAGTCATTTTGGCTAGCGGGATACGACGTGCATTCGTGAGTGCCACGACTATTTCAACGCAACCTTTTGTCGAAGCGTAAGCAAGGCAAACTCTACGCAGCGTAAAGTACTTTCTGAAGTATTTCGCGCACGTGTTTTCACAAGATGAAAACTGCCTACAAACTGCCCAGTGCATGGTGATGTTTCTTCAGTTTTGTCAAAAGAGTGTTCAAGAGCACAGCGAAGGAAGGTTGAGGGGGAGGGGGGGGTGCCAGTGTGGACCGTTCAGCTTCAAGCTATATGCAGCCTCACGTGTTTCCATTCCAACCGTTCTGTGGCTTGCTCGCTTCGACGGTAATCGCTTCCGCAAAAGCACCGAGTCGGCGATTCTTTGGAATAGAATCCCATTCTTTTCTTCACGTAAGGCAGTTTCTGCGAATGTCCACGCAAGCGTTTGCAGAATTCTGCGGGTGCGTGCGTGCATGTGGTTGTGCACTTACGCGCCCGAGTGCATCTGTGCCTGCGTTCTCCTCGCTGTCATCTCTCCTGACCGCCGAGTACCTGCCACTACACGGCAGATTACCCGTTTCGATCCGGGTTGGATGCGTACGACGATCATAACACGCCGAACGCAGCGCGTGGTGCAACCATTTGCGAGTGATTACCTTGTCTTCCCGGTATGTCAGCCAGCCGGCCGGCCCACTCACTTCATTCCTCTCCTCCTTCGTGCTTCATCGCAGCGTTTTTGTTTCGGGGGTTTGGGGTCATTTTTTTTTATGACAGGCCGGAAGCATTATGCAGTCAGATCATAATTGTTCAGCCGAATATTTTCCGCCTTTGGCAGCCTAAAAGTTGTGAGCACATTGATGCTGTAACTCAGAGGTTTTACGGCGACTGTACACTCATCACACAAAGGAAGCACGACAATAATAGCTATGCATTATTAGTCGCTATTGAAGTGCTAACAATTGCGTATGAGTGACAAAACTGAGACACAACATTTCTGCATTTTGATGTGAAATGGCAGTGAATGCAGCATTTTAGGAACTTGATACAACAGTTGCTTGGGCTAGTTAGTGATTTGGAATCGGAATGTTCGCACAACACTAAAAACGAGGACTTATGAGAGCACATAACACAGCACCCGTATTGTGACCCTTTTAAGGTCTTCGTTTTTTTAGAGCTGTGCAAACATGTGAGCTTTCTAAACGCTTTTGAAGTTGTCCTAATATCAGTGCCGCACAATGACCATGATAGCTCAATACGTGCCTGGTATGTATATGTTATGTGCGTAATCTTTCCCTGACGTGTCATTTGTTGCCTAAGTATCATTATTTGTCAGGAAATGTTCTAGGTGTTTCATAAGAACGCTAAATCTGCCATCCCGTTTTTTTTTTTTCATTGTGATTTAGCTTTGATATCTTTCAGTAATCTTGAATGAGAATTTCTCTGTGCTGTTTTAACTGTTTTGCTGTGGAGAGGTTGAGGTTCTCTCTTTCAAATACTATTCGCCTCAACATTTCCCGATCAACGGTGGCATTCAATTCCAATTACTGCGGTTGAGTGGAAGCATTGCTCTTGCGAACAGTGGGCTAGCCCTAAAATTAAAACTTCTTTGCGCATCGCAGGAGCTGCCTCATAGCAGGCTGCCGGTATTGTTGCGTGAATGCCTTTGTTTCCTCGGTGTTGTATCCTTTGTCCCTGGCGCATCATTGTTCTCTCGCGCTTGACCTCATCCCTTAACCTTTCTCGTACAATTACGGCAAATTCAGGCCTCGTCACTATAGAAAAAGATACGGCATGTAGGAAGTGAATGCGTAACAGTGACCGGCCGACCTATGACACAACAATTTCGTACCGCCTTCAGTGTTGCTTCCAACGCGTATACTGACGCGGCGCGCTGCAAGGGGGGCAGCAGCTTCGCGCCTATCACGGGGAGGTGATGCTGCCGCGGGCCCGATTTGGCGTAACCCCCGGCGTGATTTACACACCTCTTGAGCTATCGGCAGGTTGTCTCACCCTGGAGCTACATCAAAGTGTTTGTCACGTGGTGCCTGTATATGGCAGCGTACTGACCTACTTTCTTCGTGGAATTGGAGAACACAATCGAAAAGGTCTCGACCACTGACAAGTGGGCGTTGATAGATGCCTTGAAAGAAACCCATGCGGACGCTGCTATTAAAGGGGATGTTGCGCCTTTGCGGAAGAGCGTGTATAGGTCAGTCTTGTAAAACGTTGTCAGTAGTGGCAATATTCTTCATCCGCTTGCGTGGATGCAAATGTAAGTAGTGGCGATGAACATGACAGCCAAATTTGACTGACCGCTCCTTTTTCCAACAAGAAGTCAGCGCTTTTTTGGAATGTAAAGTGAGTGAGCCTTGTGTAGAGCGTCTCTTTTACTCGTGTGCGCTTTAACAACTGCAGTTTCAGGACGATTACAACTATAAATTTTCCACTTACATGGCAGCTTGCCGTTTGGAGCTGAGCAAAATTTTTCTTGGGCTTGTTGGTGCAGCATAGTGAAAGAACATCGTGTTCGGGTCACGTGGTGCGCACCACTAATTTAGTGTGAAAAAAAACAAAGCCGACATTTCTACATGAAATTGCCGGTGCGATAGTGACTTGAGAAGAATCTGCAAAAAGTTGTGATTTCGTTTTCTTTTTCATGTGTTTAGTGTAAATAGTAGTGTAAAGACATAGTAAACATTTTTTTTTAATTTCAGGATATGTCTCTCTACTTTATTCATTTCTTCGTATTCGTAGGTATCTACGCTGTCAATGTAAACACCGTAGTGATGTGGTATTTAGATGGGAGTGGCTTCTTTGAAGGTAGTTTTGGATATCTTGCTAACTTTATTACTATATTCCTAAGGCTGTATTATTTAAGTTTCAATATAAGAAAATGCTTCCTGCAACGTTACGGCTTTACTAAGACAGCTGTTTCCTCTACTCACCTGCTTAACACATCTACCACCATCCGCGGCCGCCTCCACCGAAGCCGCCACCGCCGACTCTCCATCCGCCTCCACCAAAACCACCGCCGCCACCTCCTCTCCAGGGACCAGCACCACCTCCGAAACTACCACCGCTGCTCCATGGTCCACCACCTCCAAAGCCGCCGCCTCCGAAGCCACTCTTAAGGCCTCCTCCGAAGCCTCCTAAGCCACCACCACCACTCCTCCATGGTCCACTGCCACCACCGAAGCCTCCGAAACCACCGCCACTTCTCCAAGGGCCACCGCCTCCTCCACCGAAGCCTCCGCCGCTTCTCCAGGGCCCGCCACCACCACCACCGAAGCTTCCAAAGCCCCCTCCACTTCTCCAGGGTCCGCCACCACCAAAGCCTCCGCCACCGAAGCCCCCACCACCGCCACCGCTGAGAAATCCGGCGGTCGCCAGGCTCACGGCGAGCCCACACACGGTCAGCGTCAACTGTAAAAAAAGACATACGTTAAGAAGGCCTACATGACGAAAATTCCATAGGCTTACAGGGAAGCGTCTTCGTAGCGTGGTATACGCATATGCTAGCGTCTTGGAAACACCGCTCGGATCACAGGACAATTTCCCAAGTAGAGTCAATGGAGTTCGGTAACTTCGCTTTCCCGTTGCCACTAGAAAGCATTTGTAATGCTCCCCCTACTGTACCTCATATTTTAATTTCCAAATGCTGAGAGGTCATGATTCCTATTGAGGCCAACCTTTCTGCTTTTTCATTGAACGTAGTGCTTTCCTCTTTTTTACTATTATTCAGAATCAACAGCACACTCGTAAACTATACAGGCTGGAGAGATGTGTAGGGCGAGAAAAAAAGCAGCCACGTGCGCTCAAAAATGTTTAGCCATTACTTAGTGCTGTTAATCATAGGGATATGTATATATATATATATATATATATGTATATATATATATATATATATATATATATATATATATATATATATATATATATATATATATATATATATATATATAAGGGAAACAAACGTATACTTAAGGGCGCGTTTTTCGTGTTTTACACAATATTAATAAGATCTAACAGACAATAATGCCAAGGAAGGTATAGGGGAAGTTATTAGGCCAATTTTAATGTAAATGAGAAGAAAGAAAAGTGGGTGAAAAGATAACTTGCCGTGGGCAGGATCCTGCCCACGGCAAGTTATCTTTTCACCCACTTTTCCACGGAATATCCAAGTTATTTTAACTTTTCCAAGTTATCCACGGAATATGTAGAAGAAAACCAGCTTAAAGACTGGTTAATGTGGCGCTTTTCTAGTTTAACATGGCTCAGGAGAAATCGACCACCGATTGCACTATTTTCATACTTAGTGAAGAGTCAATTAACCTGAATAATGACAATAAAACATAATCTAATAACTTTGCTTGTAATCTAGGAAATTTTCAAGGGTCAATCTAGGGATAAAACGTTACCATCACTGCCATTATTTATTACCTTACTCGACCGTAGCCAATAACTCGGTCACTTTTTGTCATGTTTGAAACTTGATTTACTGTGCATAACCACAGGCTTGCGGTCCCCCTAGTCCCCCGAAGGGGGGGGGGGGGGGGGAGTCTGCCTCATACATGGACGTAATAGAGGGAGGAGGACGCTGCGACAAACCTTCACCTCCCCCCCTCTCTGAAGGGAACCCTGCGCCCGCATGTGTGTGTCAGATCACACATATTGAAATTCTATCGAAAAAATTAATTTTGCAAAAGAGATTCAAAACTGCCTTACCAAGACACTGCCATTGAATTTCTGAGGCTTGAGAATGTAATAAAAATTCACTGTCTGAAAGAATGCTTTCGTTCTAATTCTCGTAGCGGTTGCCATACTATACCTATCAAAGAAATTACTTATGTTTGCCCGAGTGATCTCCGCTCTAGTGCCTAATACAAGCAAGTGAAGCACGCGTCAGAAACTCATTATCAATGCACTTTAAAGAAGAAATGGCAGTAATTATATCAACCAAGCACGATAGGCACCCTTCCCACGTTGCGCGCTTTATGTGGAGGTTGCCTCGATGCCGTGTTTCAATCTAGCTTGCTGATATACTCGTATCTTCTGATGCATCTTCTGATTCTCAGAGTTGCCTTTACAGATTTCTAGCCTCCGAAGCGGGAAGTATCCGTAGTCTTCCTGTACTGTGTTCCTAAGAGCCTGAGTCACCTTACAACGTTATAGCCCGCCAACTAAGCTTCCACGACTTACTTGACCAAGCGGCTTTGCACTAAAGCGTCAGCTGGTGGACATCTCAACGTTCTTCTAAGCCATGCCTTTCTTTCTACCATGAAGATGGCGCTCAGTGACATAACTCGCAATTTGGGGCACTCGCTCGATTTCTACTTCGTTGCACGTGCGTTTACGACCCAGTGCGGTTCAGCGACCCCATTTTTGCTGAAGCGGTCACTAGTACCGTCAGCCACGCCATCTGCCCATACTTGTGTGAAGCGCGCATCATTAAGCGCTTGTGTGAAAACTTGATAGATGGCGCCACAACCATTTTCTAGATTTGTTTTTGATTTGATTTGGCAGTTTCCAAGGCTTTATGGAAGAAACTTGAGCTACCATTTTTTGCAATTGTGCGTCTACAATTACTGTCACTTGGTTACATGGTCTTCTTAAAAGAGCCGTCAGTTCACTCTCCTACTCGGCGAGAACTTGTCTCTTCGCCCACGAACATTGCCCTTGCGATCATCATTTCCACATTCAAATAAATTAGGCACGTCTAAAATGTCCTATGTTTTACTTCTCTGCTGTGACGGGTTGAGTGCATCTTGTTGCCACTAGATAAAAGCTTCACAATTGATTTTGGAAGATTTTTCACTCATTATACCGCCAGTGTCTTTAACCGTGCAACATTGGTGACTTGAGATGCGCAGTAGTGTTTAGCTGCCTTGTTCCGTCTTTGAAGTTTTCATAGTAAGCATGAGGTACCTGATGCTGGCATTGCATTTCACACGTGCCGCGATAATTAGTGAAAATAGTGAAGAAAGAAAGTACAAGGGGACAGACACTTCCACAACTTAGTTGCAGTGCGCCAAAAGAGCGGTGGTTAAAGAGGTTGCAGGTTTTCTTTTCTTTCTTCATTTTTTAGAATGCTTGCAACTTGCTCTCTGTATGCCTTGGCTTCAATGATGTCTTTTTTTTTTCCCTCTGCTATAGATATTTTTTCCTGACAATTACTTTTATCGTTGTTGGTTTTTTGCAAATTCAAAGCTCCAGGTTGGTTTTCTCAACGCCCTATTCCACTGCGTTTCCCCACACTGATTTGTAAATAACCTCAGCCCATCTTGGTGTAATTGTCAAATGATGAAAAAGCAAGCATTGCCGGTAAAGATCTGTATCTGTTCCTATCCGTTCCCGTTTGTTTGACTTTGCTCAGTAGTTAGCAGTGGCGTGGTACACTAGGCCCATCTCCTCTCGCTCAACCGAATTTTTTTCGTCATGGCATACGGAGCGAGCAATGATCATTTGAAAGGGGCGCCGTCTCCCTCCTGAAAACAAGAAGGTACCCCTCTCCCCGAAAAAAGAGTTTCTGCCTACGCCCCCGCTAGTTGGTACTGTTAACTGCAGTACCGTAATCCCCTTCAGGTTATTTGAAGCCGAGGAAAGGGACTTTAATATTGAAGTATAGTATCATTACCTCGCCATTACACTTTTCTTCTATCAAGCGTAAAATTGTAAATGCTTTTGACGCAGAGCTATCTAATACACTTTAATACTTTCTTTGCCAACTAATCGATACGATTTCATTTCTTCTCCATTCTACTGCTCCAGAGCAAAGGTGGTCTTTTTATTGACTTTCACTTAAGAACGAACTGAGCTAAGATGCTAAAGACTGTGCAGATGTCGCTTGAAAGCGCCGTGGTAGTTTTGGTAAATATTAATTTTTACACAAGCTTCAAATATCAATTTTAAGACGATATCACGTAAATCATTAGAATTTGTTTCATGAATTTCTCCATCAACCGGCATTGCTCATTGGCGTTTCGTGATAATTATATCTATTTAGAATGTCCCATAATTGATGCAAGAAAGCTTCGGTAAGATATCTTAATCCATAAGAACATGGAACAGTGGTCAGAATACCGTCCCCTGTCCTTCTCGCTAAGTAGTATATAACTAAAAAAAACGAGGCTTTTAATATAAATCAATCTCGAATTATCCCTACAATGATATCTCTACAATCCATTTTGTTATGGTGTTGAGCTGTCGGAGGGCCACATCCCTTCCAGCTCAGGGGTGTTTCAAGACGTTCATCTGTATGAAACACTTGCGCTGTCAGAAATCAACGATGGTCCATTTCACAATAGAGCAACCCTGTCTTTCATATTATCTCCTATCTTGGTCCTGACCAAGATACGACGCGGCCGAAAGCTGCCGCAAAGAATACAGCAGACTCACCATAAGTTTCATCCTTGTCGAGATGCCTGGTTCAACGTTGTGACCAGAACGAAAGCGACGAGTGCTGTACCTGGCTTTGCACCAGCTCCGCGCTTATATACTTGCCGGAGTCCGTACACCCGGCTCTTGTTTCAACTTTTTTTCTTGTTATTTCGTGCCTCCTCTCTGTTGGCCTCTCGTAGTATACACCATGAAAGTGAAAGGAGATTTCACCATGGCCATCCGGCCGCGTTGTGCATTCGCACCAGCCCGCGGTCAACGTGCTCTTCCTCCTCTTTGAGCGTTTCTCCTTTCCAGATGCGCATCCCACGGCAAGCGACTCACGTGCGGATCCCGAGGAGAAGGCAACGGACCGCCGGGCACACTTTGCTGACCTTAACGTCAAGGTCTTCCGAGAGCGACGTCTGCGCCTCTTACAGTCATCGCTGACCGATACCGATGGTGAGTCTCGTACGAGCTGATCCTAGTCCGATGCTTCCTTAATGGCCGGTTGTTGCGCTAAGGCTCCCGCCTCTGTGCTTCAACGCACGCTTCAGGAGCACGTTGCCGTGGTTCGGGTGTTTTGGGTGTGGCCCCGACACTGTTTACGTGCCTGGACTTCGGCTCATAACGATGGTGTACGCAGGTATTCTACCACTGAAAATACCTGGTAGTCGGCGATCCGAACTACTTGTGCGGCCGTAACTTCTCCGTGAAAATGAAACCCGCTATCGGAGCTGAGATTGTGTTGTATAACATAAGCAGAAGCTTTTAAGAAGGTGTAATATAGGTTATAAGTGTGGCAGTTTGGGCTAGTTGGTATGATATGACGATAGTTATAGCGCGAGAACAGAAGGATGACATTCTTGTCTCTTTGTCATCGTTCTGTTCTCGCGCTATAACTATCGTCATGTAATTTAGCAGCTGAAAATCTGTAACATTGCGCAATTAGTCTTCTCACGTCGCTGCCTTCCTAACAAGCCGCCAAATATGTTAGTTTGAGAACGAATGTTGTAATGTCAGTCCTTCTTCCCAATTTACGATTGAAATAACTTGACAGTGGGAAGGTTAGCCACAAGGATATGAAAAACTTGGGCAGCAGTGTATGAGTACCAGCGTGCGTCTATGAGTGCTTCATATAAAATCAAAGCTCAGCACTTACGCCGTTACATGTCATAAGATAACCATCACCGTATTGCTCCCATATACACGCCCCATATAATAAATCAAGTAAAGGTCCACAAGTTATAATCAGTGTTCGTCTGAATCGCTACTTCGGTTCTACTTAACAAATGTCTTTACTTCCTTTGAAGCACAGCACTGCACTAGCTGCGCTAAATTCCGACTTGCCATTTTTATATATCAATGTATGTAAGGACACTCTTACGAGGAACATTCGTAAATGTAAAAGTACTGGTTTTTATGTCTTTCGTAGTGCTTTATAATGGTGCAATCAATAATTTCAAACAGTGGCATACTAAAATGTAAAGAAAACCGTTCGTTGATCCATGAAGTTTCAGACAACAAGCCATCATAGGAATGGTAAAATTGATGAGGGAATAATCTATAATTTTACAAAGGTGCGCAAATAATCAATTATACATAATTGATTTACACCTTTCGATTATTCGAGCTAATTAAGACTTTCCGATTAATCAAATATGGCAACTGCCACCTCCACCCTCACTATGGTCCCTTGACCAGTGCGTTGAATGCGAGGCGAGCGAAGCCGAGACGAGATTCGAGCGCACCGAATCGTCTTTAGTACATGGCATACTTGTACGCTAATAGAACGAGCCCAAGGACGTCTGCGTCCATACTCTACTGAGGCAGAAGTGAAACAATCCTGATGTCAGTTGTTTACAGCACCAACCTCCAAGCGCTTACATAGGATTCAAGCGCGCGCAGGAGGTAACCCCACCCCGACGAGGCAGACATGTACTTGCCCACTTCTTTCCGCTGACAGCTTACTGAAATCACCTCCTATGGCCCCGTTTTTTCTGTCCTGCGCTCATTAACTTTCGACAAAGTACCCGTTGTACTTACCGGTTATATTAAGAGTTTTTATTACGTATTTTTTGTGTACTTGTTCCTTCGTGATGTCGCAATGTCGAGCAATAATATGAGGAGCACGGTGAGAACGTTGTTCGCCGAAGATTCGAAAACGACGACTGTAATATACGGTAAAGGTGGTGAAAAATACTAGAAACCAACGACAGAAAAACTTGCAATATATCTGCTTCAAGCCAACTTCATTAATGTGCCAAGATTCATAATCTACAAAAATAGTACTAAAATTACAATGCTGAGGATTCCATTTAAAGGCAGCAATCCGCCGGTTCAGGTATCAGTATCTCGCTATACTTAGCCAAGAGCCTTTATGTAACTTGTCTAGGAAATCAAGTAAGTCTTGAAATACACATACGATACTTAAGTTTTAAAAGGGCGGACTGTTGGTAAGTCATATTCGTTAAAAAAAGTTGACCCCCTTCGGAAGACTTCTTTCTTAGTCTTGGTGTTTCATTCATTTTGCCTCATGGAATGAAAGCAACAATGCGGTGCGTCAACGCCCATCAGACAAGCCTGTTGTTTTCAGTGAATTTCAGACGTGCAAGCACATCGTATGGTTGTCTATTTTGTTCGTGTTCATTTTTGATCTCACGTTTTTCATTGTCCTTAATTCGTAGCACAAACTGAGATTTTTTTGCCTCTGAAAAAGTACAGCGAGTTTCTTCGCTTGCTCTGTCTTTGGCAACATGTTGCAATATTCTATTTAACTCTCAGGACCGCCATGGTGAATGAGTGGTCGCAGCACTTGGCTGCTGATCCGAAGGTCGTCAGGTTAGATCCTGGGCATGGTGGTCGCATATTGAGCGAGGCGAATTCCTACCGGCCAGAGTACTGTGCTATGTCAGTGCACGTCAAAGAACAACAGAAGGTCGAAATTGCCGTAGCCGTCACCTTCAGTGTCTCTCATATTCATATCGTGTTTTATAGACCTAAAACCTCACACAGTAATATTATTACTATTAGTATTATTATTAAAATAGTAATAATATTATTATGAAACCATCATGTTTTATTTTTTTCCTTGTTTAGCAGCACTACACAATGATCGAAGTTCTACATTGTAATTGTGTTGATTATTTCTTAACTGGTTCTTAATGCTGTCATAGTTTATTCCTTAGCAAATAAATGATAGTTGCCTAACAACCAATCAACAATTGAAAATATATTAGAAGGCCGAGAGCATGCTCTCAGCTAATACACCCCGGTTGGCTCCGGTATATGCTTTCCAAGATTGCAGAGCAAACAGCATGCTTAAGCGAGGTTTGCTGGCCTTAAGACTCGGAAATATAGACTCTGCAGCATCTTGACATTAACAAGCATAAGTGGTGATCCCCACGACGTGCAACTAGGGCCTCGACTCCACTTGAAGCGCGACAGGGGCCGCGAATAGTTTAGCAAATATGTAGTGCAATGAAGCGCACTCGCAGATTATGAAAATGGTATAACAGGCTTTGAATAAATGTGACTTTCGGCTAACACACTCTCACATCAGTCAGCCTAGAGGCCCACGCATCCTCAGCTGTGATGCGAAAAAAGAACAGTCGTGAAGTACTAAGTGTTCTATATTGCCTGGCCGTGGTGCAAGAACACTCAGAGTTTGGGCTCCATGGTGGTCTACAGTGGGTGTGGTACTCTACCACCGACACGAAGGTCGCGAGATCGAATATTGGGCCCAGCGGCAGCTTTTTCAAATAAATCGAAAATGCACGAGGCCCTTTCACTTAGATTTAGGTGCCCGTTAAAGAACCCCAGGTGGTCGACAATTGCAGCGCCCTTCCCTACGACGTTCCTCATAATGATATCGGGGTTCAGGGACATGAAACACTAACGCAATATATAACAGTGAAGAGAAGCGGTCCAAAACTTATTCGATTCCTCTTTCTTCTCGTATATACTTTGCCTTTTCTTAACTCTCGGTCACGCTGCATACTTGGTCGGTGCGTCTTTTCAATCAGAGTGGTTACTGAAAACGTCTTCTATTTCGGTGCCCTAGAGCAGATAGGCTTTGAGGACATAAGACCTGTTGCCGAATTGTCCATGGATAATGGCCACAGATCCTTCACTCCATGACGACTTCTAAAGAAGACGGTTACCCTAAGTCTACTGGGTGGAAGCGCAAATTTTTGCAAAAATGCAAAGGTGAACATTTGTTTCCTAACAGGCCTGATAGAAAGTTTTCGGTCGAGAGAAAACACAAGTATTAGTTTTTGAATTATAATATACCTTTCTTAAGGCTCCCATAAAACTGTCGATTAATTGAGTAAAACCTCTAATCACAAGCAGCTTTTCAGAATAAAGATGGCTTATTGAATAACTAACTATTCATCGAATTGAATTTTAATCAGTCATGTCTACGCAAGTGTGACAGTACTATGCGTATTTCTCAAATTTCGCTTCTATCTTACTGGATGTTAGCTTTAGCTGTTAATTACGAATGATGCGGCTGATAAATATAAATATGACATGAAAGATTTATTACTTCATTGACAGGAGCGAAGATTGTTCCCTGATGAGGATGGTGTTCTCTATACCCACGGAAAAACAGCAGGTGGTAAACAGCAAAGTTTTGTTAATTTATCAAGCATTTCATGATAACCGCATTCTGTATATCGGTTAATGCGCCCAGGATAAGGTAGCTTTTGTCTTCTAACTATAACTTTAATATATCAACACTAAGTGATAATGCGCTATAAACACATAAAACAATAAACCAACCAATCAACGATGACTTGTTTTATTAAATATTTATTTCTTCAACAAAGGAGAAAGCATCATTCATTTTGATGACAAAGCACCTGGTGAACAACACTCCCTGCAATTTATGATTCCACCGTTGCCTTAACCATTGTCTTCTGGCGACGAAATTAGGGGCACTTTACAGTATAAAGCGCTGTGTTCATCGCTATAACGGCCACCATGATCATATAGCGACTGAAAAAAAAGTATAATACTGCCACCATTGCACCTATTGCATTACCCACTTCTTTATATAAGTGATAAAAGGACTTGTGTTTTGCTAGAGATGCTAGGTTTATGCTAATACAAATAAATATGGCTAGC